TTGGAAACATTTGTTTAGAACTTAATAACTTTGCTTTCTTGAGAAATAAGCAGACGTGAGATTAAAAGCCAATGGGGGTTTTACAAGCACTGGAGAGCCCAGTAGAGTTTTGTTTGTGGGCTGCAAAGCAGTTGTCTCCTGGTGTTTAGTCTCACTAAAATCAATGGAATTACTCCCAAAATCTACTCCAAAGGAAGTTGACTGGAAATTGCTTTTTTTTTTTTATCACGGAGCAAAGATTAAGCCAAATGTATGCCAATTTTAATCAGTTTGTTTATTCTTCCCACTAGATTTTTCAAGAGGAAGAAATCTGTATTTTGCTCTTGATTATTCTTGAAGGGCAAATTATGACCAGTCACTGAATAGCAAGTAATTTACTAACATGCACTTTGTGTGTGAGAGAGACAGAGAGATTGATGTGCATCAGGGGGTCCTACACCTGATTTGTCATCATCTAATTGGCTTTATCAGTTCCGATTACCTCTAGGACCCTTTGATGGGGAATAGATGGGGCCTAGCTTCTGTCCTCCCACATTAAAACAAAAGCCAGCTGATCAGCAGTATTTCATTTACCATTTTAGTGCTGTGCATTGTTGGTGTTCTTCTATTGAGAATCATACAGGCAGCCTCTCAGGAGCTAGGTTGAATATAGTGATCAAGCCTTGAGACCTGCGTGCACAGTTAATATATGGTTACCAATCCAACATTTGGTGCATACACAAAATCATTGTGTGTGTGCATGTCCCTCTCTAGGATGCAGAGAGACAAACCCAAAACTTCTGAGCTACAACAATAAAATTACAGGGCTTCTGAAAAATGAACTACCATGTTTATACCACGAATACAGCTGCTTCAGACAAAACAAGTTATGGATTCTGTAACTTGAGGCTTAGTTTTGTGGTTTTGATGTACTTTTGTATATGTGTTTGTGAAAGAGAGAGTGTGTATAAATGGGCCATGTTCTGATTGCATTTTTCAGTGAATCTAAATGGCGTAGTGAAACTTTTCTCCAAATTTCCCAAGTCTCTAAATAGCCTGGAAGGAATTAACGTTGACAGGGTCTTTCAAGGCTTAGTTATTATTATTCGTGTTAACAATTACTCTTAAGAATTCTGTAATCTTTTTCATGTTAAATGAAATAAAAATCATTGGAAATTTTAATTCAATTCAGAAAATTAAATTTTAATTTTATAAATGATACTTGAATAAAGAGAAAGTTTGCTATACATGCAATTCTCGTATTAAAGTCAGCATATTTTAACTTTTATTGAAAAGAAACATGCAAACTGATATCTCTTCAAACTAAAGCTTCACTAATAAAAAAAATATGGATGATGTATGGATATATGCAGGCTAGACTGGGTAGTAAAAGAAAAAATTCCCAGTAGCAAACTAATCTGATAAATGTCCAAATTATTGTCAAGAAAGTTATATATGACTGTTTCCAGAAAATCACCAAGGTTTCATTGGAGACTTGACCTTATCTTATTTGAAAGGTATATGGAGCTTGGAAAAGATCATGTTTCTAGAATTTGTTTTAATGTGTAAAGCCAAATCTTATGTTTCAGTGTCAGCTGTTATGTAGAAAAAGTTGCTTTGTCTTGTAGTTAACAATGAGCTATGATGCTTGGGGGGAAAGTATCATTGTGATGTTTTTCACTGGGGAGAACATCAGTTAGATTTAACACAGTGCTTTTGCTATGCATGGTATTCATTTGAGAAAGCAATTCCAGTTGTGACTTTTATTCAGGATTGCTTTTGAAATGGGCAATTCCAAGCACAATGCCTCCCATGGGACATGGCTCAAAATATAATATTTTTAGTTTTTGTACAAAAAAAACAATTTTAGTAAAAACTGATGAAAACAGGTCACATACAAAATTAGGGAAGAGCTACAGTGCCATTTGTCCCTATGAGACTGCATTAGCTGCCCAAAATGCTGCTATTTTTACTCTTAGTTTCTCCCCCTTAAAAAAATAAGCTCTATTTTGTTAAATGTCTTTAAAACATTAAAAACATTTCTATTTTTTTTTTAGGGAGGCAGAGGCTAAATGGATGTTGCACGTTGTCTTTAAAAGGCAATATTAACAAATGCGCCTCCTTAAAAAATGTTGTTGGCTTTCTGAAATTGATGGAGCTGTGTCCTGTTCTTAAGTTGCTTTAAAAATTGTACTAGGTCTTCAACATGAATAAAGATTGTTTTGAAACTGCATTTTATGTCTTAACTGCTCAATAATGAGGAGGGGTTGCTTTATATTTATTTGTGTTTTACACCCTTGTTTTCTAATGAATAGATAGAAGACTAAAGGTAGCAGAGAATTCCATTTTCCCCCAATTCCAAATATGAGAGAAAAAATAACTCATAGGTGCAACAAATGTATCTAGACTAAAGACCAATCTCCCTAAAGACCATACTAAGGTGTGGATTTCCCCATATCGTCTTACTTCATCAGGGAGAGCTAAAAGTTCCTAATTCCTTCGCCACATCAGGCATATTTCAACCGGTGGTGAATTCAATTTTTTTTTACTGTTCTGTGGGTGTGGCTTGGTGGGCGTGGCAGGGGAAGGATACTGCAAAATCTCCATTCCCATCCCACTCTGGGGCCAGCCCATTCTCCGAACTACTTAAAATTTCCACTACCAGTTCTCCAGAACCTGCTGAATTTCACTCCTGATTTCAACCCTAATACTGTTGGATTTGGATATTTTGTCTCGTATCAATAATGTTCCAGTTCCCTTGAATGTTACCTCCAGCCTGGAACAGGGACAAAAATTCACCGTCCCTTAAAAAAAACAAAGGTGCATTCCTGTTACACCTCTCATTTCCACCTATTACTATTGAAAGCACAACAGACTTCAGATTTAACTGCTCTTCTGCCAAAAATTCCATCCACTTGAAAGAACTCCAAAGAATGATATGTGCATCTTTTCATTTTAAGTATAACATGATATTATAGCACAATATAGATTTTAGGTGAAACGAAGTAAACTTACTCATATTTTAATTTTTTTTCTTTTCTGCTCTAAAACCATGAGTTAAACCTAGAGACATGGTATATCACATTTTCCTCTCTTTTGATAATATTTCTCCAACAGTTTTTGATATGATAATTTTATCATTTACCATCAGTACATAATTTCTGAAATTTGACAAACTTCCATACAAATAGTATATATGATGAGTAGTATTTAAGTGGAGGAGGGGGAAGATTCTTGGGGGCAGTGCGGGGAATTACACATTAGAGTAAAAAGAACCAGATGACTACTAGATGGCACTGAGGAGTTCTGCATTTCTGCTATAATATGGTTGGATTGTGGCTGCCAATTTCGATAACCCTACCCAAGTTTTGGGTAGACATTGTAAGCTTTAGGGCAGAGAGATGCCCCAATTGGGTCTATCAATATCTTCTATATGCCAGCCTTTTCTAGATATCATTATTTTGTTTTTATTCTAGAATAACTTCAGGGTTGTTTTCCTGAGGTTTCTATGTGGAACAAATAGCCAT